GGACAGAAATTGTTAGGAGGAACTTACAAGGCAATCACATCTGCCTTGTCTTAGAAGGAAACCAAGGACCAGAAACATCTATGATTTTCTTTAAAGTCTTTCTGGTTCCAGTCAGATCTGGGATCTTGAATGCCTACGGATCTCTGGGATGATAAAACAAATCTCATGGTAGTCTCTTTAATACTCAGCTACATTGAGCTGGAAAATGAAAGGAATTTTCCCTTTCTAATGTGAACTATCCTGATGTTAACATGAGAGACTTATATTAGCTGGAAGTCCAGGCCAGAAAATGAGTAATACATCGTGATCAGGGTACCTATAATTTTCTTAGAAAACTTTCCATCATGAGATGCTGAACCCAAAGGAAGGTTTCTCTGTTTGAAAATGTTGTTACGATTTAACCACTGGATCACTTACAGCAATTACCTCTCTAGAAGCCAGCAGTTAAGGCTAGATTACATTATATATGTAGAAAAAGAGAATATTCTAAGAAGCAGTAGGATTTATACTTTGTTTCTGGAAGAGGCTTATTTCCAGAGCTGAAGGAAATGGTAAATTAAGCAGGGGGAAAGAAAATGAAACCAGCACAATGAAAGAAAAAGACAATCTCCAACATGGAGACTTTCCCAAATTGAGATGACCAGTTGGGTCAAAATACTCATCCTAGTTAAATGTTTATGTCAATATGGTAATCAGGAAGTGAGAGATGACAATGGAAAATAGGAGAACCCCCAATCTATACAGATTAGATACTTTTGCCATTGTAAGACATTCAGAAAGGTAAACAGTTGATGGATATCCTGAAATAGAAGAAAAAGACTGAATTGCAAACTATTTTCCACTACCTTCCTACCTTCATGTAATTAAGAGGATACTAGCAAAAATGCTTTAGTGTATTAAATAAATATATAACTCACCTATTTAATAATATGTCGTATTGATTATGTTAATGATTCTCCTTCACTCTGTTTAATGGCCTTGAATACACACGGGAAGAGAATGAGGATAAGATGAACCCAGAAGAATTTGACATTAAAATATCCCCCTACAGCAACACAACTGCCCAGCATTACACCTTCATGTTTTTATAACCCACTGTCAGACGCACAGAATACTATTGGCACTTTTTAACTAAAATACTACAGGTTCAAATGGGTTCCATACTACAGACTGGACATCAAAGCTGTACTTTGTACATCTGAGCCCATTCTCAGATTGCTACTCAACGAAGTAAGGACTACTGACACATAGGAAAAAGTGTGCTTACAGGAAAACTTTTCCTTTGAAAAGCTAAGGAACGGGTTCTCCATCTCTTCTACCAAGAGTGTGTGTTCAGAAAACAATGTGCAGGTTGTGTCACCTAGCATACCTCAGTGAAAGTCCTTAAGGATGACATTAAGTGTCTGCAGACTAAACAACTTGCTCTTCCCACAGACACAATTGCTCCATTAAAAAATCATTAATTTTGTTACAATAAGAGATAATTAAATCAGCCAGAAGTTGAAGGCAGACAGTTGAAAACAGAATCTCCCATTCTGTTGCTGATTGCAAGTAAGACAAAATTTGTCAAGACAGGGGAGAAAAAGTGCCCTCTGCTTAGATACACTACAGAAATAAGGCAAGTGACCTTCAGAGTGAGACTCTTCTCAGCCTCTGATAGTCTTCTCTATTTCACATCATTGTTGCAAGGCCATCAGTGAACTGAATTAACCACTGAAGCAGAAGTCAAAAACACAGTGTCAATACTACAGTGTACAATAAAAAGAGAGTGAAGCTGTTTTGCAAAAAATTATTTCCCTTCTCTTTTTTCCCTTTCATCACTCCTATAACATTGAGCAGCAACTGCAATGTGATAATTTCCAGCACATTTGTACTCTTTGCCTTTTACTTTGCTGCATGTTTTTGGAGACTTCTTGCTGGAGAGAACGAGGAAGAGGCAGAAAAGAAAAATTCCTCCAGAGGGAAAGCAGTCACAAAGAAACTTGGAATTCAGGGCTAAAAGGCTTTCAGAAAAGTTCAGCAG